AAAAAAAAAAAAAGAAAAGAGAAGAAAAAGAAATCAACTAGAAGCAGAATGCAAAGGAAAACAGGGGCCATGTGACCAGGAAAAATCACATCTTCTTGAGCCTCAATTTATTCATCTGGAAAATGAGAGAACTGACAACAACAACAACAAAAAAATACACATGCATTACAAGAGTTTGGATGGATGCCCTTCAGAGATCCTTAAAAATTTGGGGAATTTTTTTCCCTTCTTCACTTGAAGACGTCAGCAGCTGCTTCCTTATATAAGCAAGAACAGAAATCACCTAGAAGCAGATCTTTGTAGCTCTGTGGAGATTCATTCACTTAAGTGGTTTCCCTTGGTTATGAAGTGAAGGGCTGGTTGGGCCCATAATCCTAAAGAAGGGGTATAACCAAAATGTTGTGTTTTAGATAGATTTTAGAAAACACCCCTTGGTCATGTCTACCTGGCTAGAAAGGGGCAAGAGGTGGATCTTTGGGGAGAAGGTTGTTGAAAATGGTTCTAACCCAGGGCTCCTGGGGCTGGCCCATGCCTTAGAAAATGGCCATGAGGTGAAACCGGAAGAGTTGATCCCCAAGAATCACAGGGAGGCCATGAGGCTCCAAAACTGAGTGTGACATTCTGAGGTCATTCTCTGAAGAACCACAGAGAAGAAATGTCACATGGCACCCGAGAATGGCAGCCCACACAGAAGGCCCAGTCTCTGCCCCTGGGCTCCAGACACAGAACTCCCCGACAATTCAGGCAGCCTTCCCTCTCTGTTCAACCTTGCATCTTCCAGCACAAATGGAAGCCAACGCACACCCCGTAGAACATTCTAGTGCAAGTCATACTATTTGCCAAGGCCTGAATCTCTGCCACCTCATGCTCCACGCTCATGCCGCAACTGAGAGTTGAGAAAGGTTACACTTCAACCCTTCCATCTCAGACATTCTAACTGATGACTGAGCTCAAATTCAAGAATTCGCCCTGGCTCAGTTTGAGGACTGCCTTAGAACAAAATACCAAGTGGTTGCTGGCTCCGTGGCTGGAGCTGGAGAGGAAAAGGCAAAGAAAGAAGAGTCTGCTGGTCAGGCCCCAGGCCAGTTACCGACTGAAGAACACTTTAATCTGTGCTCCAAAAAGCATCTCAGAACTCCAGGATGTGTCCACGACCTGTCTGTGGAAAGAGTGGAAAGGGATGTAGACTTTGCAACTCAGGAACTCTTTTGGGTAAACAATGTTTGCCTAATCTCTTAGCCATGTGTATAAAACAAGGGCCAAGTCCACACATCCAGGGCCCTTATTTCAACATTGTAAAGACTGGCAACGAATCTGATAAGAGTTTGGAAGTTTATTTCTCAACTAAAACAAAGGCTAGGAAGTCCAATACAGCAGGGTTTAAAACTGTTTCTTCAATTTCTAAAATGCAAAACTATCCGGAAAGGAGAAAATATTCCATCTTGGATTTATACCACGTAAGGGTAGTATTTTTATATTAGATTGTAACAAAAATAAACTAGTCTGAACTTAGATCACAGATCTTATTATTCTTGTTCATCACTCAAACCCTTCCTTGCCCTTTCCAGCACTCCCCATCAAATCCTCCTAGGAACCAGCGGTTGCGGTGGATAGCAGCAGTCCAAAAAGCGTAGTATACCGCTGCTGTTCCTTCCTGCTGCCACAAGGTGTCACTTTTGAAAACTGATCCCCTCACAGCCTGAGCTGAGATGCGGTTTCATTATTGACTGTTGAACTTTTTTTTTTTTTTGAGACGGGGTCTCCACTGTCGCCCAGGCTGGAGTGCAGTGGCAGGGTTACAGCTCACTGCAGCCTCAACCACCTTGGCTCAAGCAATCCTCCGACCTCAGCTCCCAAGTAGCTAGAACTACAAGCACTCACCACTACATCTGGCTAATTTTTTTTTTTTTCTTTTTCAGCGATGAGGTCTTGCTGTGTTGCCTAGGCTGGCCTTGACTCCTGGGCTCAAGAGATCCTCCTACCTTGGCCTCCCAGAGTCCTGGGATTACAGACATGATTCAGACCATTGCCAGACACTGCCAGAAATCTTCCGAGCAAAACGATCCCATTCCTCAAGGCTAAGCTCAACTGAGGGAACCCCAAAGTGGCAGTTCTTCCTATATGCCTGTTCAGGCTTGCTTCAGATGCTAGCATCACCCCACTAGCCCAGAAACACTGCTTCACCTTGCCCCTAAGGAAATCCATCCCCTCGGAGTGAGGAAACGTTCCCTCTTCAGTCCTCAAAACACAAAGGATATGATACACGACTGTTTTCTGCAACTGGGGGTTACATCCCTGTCATCGTCCTACAGGGAAG